CGCAATAAGTGTACCTCTGGCTGTTTGTCTTTTCTGATAAAGTCCATACACGGTATAGTTTTTAATATCATAATGTTTTATGTTTTTTTCCCGTGATGTTAGCCTCTTGGACAACTAGGACATCCACGTCCTTCTCCACAACGATCTTATTTAATTCGGATAACTTAGTTTCCGAAAAGCCACCTGCATTCCACTGAAGGCCCCTTAAGGTAAATGATTCACTTCGCCGAAGAAACTTTCGAAAGCGAACAGCCATAGCCTCTAACTGTTACTCATTTAGCACCACCCACGGGTCACGTGTAATTTTAGGAACGTCACCGACGCGAGTAATGTTATCCCCCGTTTTTCGTGAAATGGTTTTATAGAATATGTCACAGAGACATCTTTTTTGAGAAATTTCAGCAGTTGCAATTCATCAAAATATTGAAAGGCAGTCAGTCTGAGAATAATGTTTTTTATACCTTTAAAAGTTCGTTTTTTAAAATTCACTTAATAGTGATGTATAATGAAGCTGGCTAACTAGTTGAACTCGAGCCATCCATCTATTACAATTCTAAATTACTATTTTATTTTCCCATATAGTGAGACGTCACATTTAGAAAATTAAGTTGCTCACTAAAATGTTGAACAACTCTGTGACCATAAAAGTCCTTACGTGGCCTTTATTTTTACAACCCTTAGTCGTAAACGTATACTTCCAATCACATACAGATTTCCAATAAGGCAAATATTCACATTATGGCATTTAAAAATTTAATTTTGTAAAAATTACGAAATATTACTTTTGTACATTTTGAAATTGTCACACTGTGAAAAATGAGAAAATTCCTTATATTCTTCCCTACTTAAAGAACGAATAAGAATGATGGGGATCTGATCACCTCGTCCATGTGTTGACGAATTATCATGTACTACATTTTAGTCGTACACCACTGTCAAGCGATTAAAATTTTTAGAAATCGATAAACTTCTTAAATCAAGGATCCCCTTGCCGAGATTCAAACTTTGAACCTTCCCACTGCTATCCGAACATGCTTAAGCCTTAAAGGCACGGAGTGGGAAGGAGAACACTCCTTATGCAGTACCTCCTTATGCATCTTAGTGTATACTCATTGTAAAAAAAAAAATCGAACACAAGAGTACGTACGACAAAGTTGAACGAGTTGCTTACGTACGACAAAGTTGAACGAGATGTTTCATTTTAAAAATCGTAGATCACATTCGATAGGTGTATACAAACTGAGGAACTAAATGTACCTAAGAATGAAATATCAGCTTGGAAAAATGTTTCTGTTGTTAACAGATTAAGTGGCGAACGTCGCTATGTGGACAATTGCGAAATGTTTTTAATTGATACTTGTTTTTTTCTGTTTTCTCCCCCCCCAGAAAGTAGATTTTATTTGCAGATTCTGATAGAACTCGTGTTCTCAAAAATGGTTGTAAAGTCTATATCTCTTTGAAAACATAAACTTTTAAAAGGACTCTAGAAGAATTATCTTCTAGCCTTGTGAAACAAAACAGAAATCAGTAGAAGAGCGTATCAGACCCTTTTATTCAAACATAAAATTAACAATGACCTAACTTGGGTTACAAGAAGCCACGCACTTCTGGCTTAACAGAATAACGTAACAAAATACTAATTTCAAGGTGTGGTAGAATAGCCTAACGCCTCACAGAATGCTTTAACACGCAGGAAGAGCTGTGGTTTATAGTAAACCGGCTAGACAAGCCTAATGGCCAAAACGCTAACGCAAGTAGCTAATAATCACAGGAGAATGTCGCCTGCAATAGGCAAACACGCTCTAAAACTAACGTCTGAAACTTTTGCTTAAACAGCACTTCATTCTACCTTAATCTGAATAAACTCTCGCTATCCTCATTTACATTTTGTAGGAGAAGCGTCGGTGAAAAGAGAGTTAAGCCAGAAGTGCGTGGCTTCTTGTAACCCAAGTTAGGTCATTGTTAATTTTATGTGTGAATAAAAGGGTCTGATACACTCTTCTTCTGATTTCTGTTTTGTTTCACAAGGCTAGAAGATGATTCTTCTAGAGTCCTTTTAAAAGTTTATGTTCTCAAAGAGATATAGACTTTACAACTATTTTTGAGAACACGAGTTCTATCAGAATCTGCAAATAAAATCTACTTTCTGGGGGGGGGAGGAAGAGAAAACAGAAAAAACAAGTATCAATTAAAAACAATAGGAAAGGCTTTTCAGCTTAAAATGAACTATTAGTTAAAAATAAATAGATAAACCTCACATAGTGGTAGGCTTCTACTGGCATGTAGCCAACTCGTAATATTATTTGCATAGATTTAAAAAAATATTTCTAGTCCAGTGAATTTTTATATGGCTATTAAATTGTGATGCTAAAGTAATGAAAATGTGTGCGAATATTATTAACATAACTTTATCCTATGATAATAAAAGTTACTTATGTGAAATGTAACAAAATTATAAAATAAGCAAAGTTATACACTAATAAATCACAAAGGAGTGTTACTGAATTACATTAAATGTTTAAAAAAATCAGCTCGGAATTATCCTAATTTAATGTTGACTAGCTTAAGCAAAACCATAAATTTGGCTATCCGGCACTGAAAAAAATTATGAAAATCCCCAAATTCAATATCTTAAATCAACTTAAAATTCAATAGCTCTGTCATTTCATGCGCAATGGAAGTCAGTTTTGTTTTTGTGTTCCAGTTTTTAGAATCAGTATAAACTTTTACTAAGTTTACTTCTGTTTGTAAAAATTGCAACACTATATAGGAGTCATGCAAATGAACTGAAAGGCGGGAAATGAACAGCTGATTATGATATGCAAATGATTAAAATTTTAGAATTATAGTGCATGTGTGGTCTTAGCAACTCCTCCCTGAAATGCTGTGTTAGCCGTATAAATATAGAGGTACAGCTTAATGTTAAAATTGTTTTATTATATGCCAGCAGTAAACGTGTCATAAGAGGTCAGTTTGCTTCAATATAAGCAAGGTCACCCTTTTTGAACTCAATATAAGCAAGGTCACCCTTTTTGAACTCAATATGAGCAAGGTCACCCTTTTTGAACAAGGGCGAATGATCGGCTTGCGAGTAAAAAGATTTTTTATCAGGAAATCACAACTCATATAAAGACATTAATGCCTCGTCACTGATACGTGTTTGGAAGTGGTGATGTCAGAAGTACCGGGTAAGTAGCAAACCTGGCAGCGAACCACAAAATGTTGTGTCAGCATAATATGAATGGATCTCCCGGTGCCAGTAACCGGACCGTCCAACTTTATCTCAGCCGTTGGCACAAAGTTGAACACTGCTACATCTATGTCATTGTCAGCTTCAAAAGTTCGCTAGTTATCTGTTGCACATATGCATTTCTTTGCCCAGAAATCTTCTGCCTCCAAACTATCAACGTCTGCGGCTGCAATGAGCTCATCAATGCAGACACCGGTGGTGCCAGCTGGGAATATTATATTTTCCGGTGAATCCTTCTGGAGTTTGAGTATAATGATGGTTGAATACACGTCAGACGCTATAGGAGTGAAAGTCATCTTTTGAATTGCATTATCCAGCGTCATACTGGATAATCGACAAGCGTGATGATCTGAGACGTTATTGGATCTGATAGGCAATCTCGTCTGCTAAGAACTGTAGGTACTTTATCAGCTACCGCTACATCAGGGAGATTGTGCAGTGGGAAGTCTTATCCTTCATTCAGCGAAATACTGAAGGTGTGTTTCAACTGACTGCACCCTTCCATATATTGTTAGAAATTTTTAAGATTTCTCGGCATGTCAGATACCGCGTCTGCCTTGGCTTTCCATTTTACCAAATATGTCGCCTGTTGAACATGTCTAGGATTTCGTGCCAGACATCTTCCTCGTGATATTCGCAGCTGACACGAAAGTACTTGAATAGAGGCAGTATGGAATGCTATTCTTCAGTTGCACATTCAAAACTGTTTGATTGGATGTCATGATGAGTAGTATTGTTCAGTGCATGGCTTCTTCATTAAATATTGATTTTGAGCATTTAATAGTCTTATATTATTTTGTAAATTTAATAGTTTCTTTGTATCGCCACAAGCTGTATGTAGAACAAATTTCATTCAATTCCGATGATTTTTCATTTAGTTTCAGTTTTCACAATCAGAAATAAATTTCATCCATTTTCATGGTGATTCAGTTTTCACAAACAGAGATATATAACTGTGTGGGCGAGAAGAAGTTTTAAAAATTAGATTCTGTAATTTTTTTCGACAACAATTAAACACATTAGTTTTTTTCTCTAATTTAAAGCTATCATAGCATGAATATTTGCGCAATTTGAAATGTTTTTATAATTGAAAGTTTTTGTCTAAGACCAAAAGTTGCAAAAATACAGCCCATTGAAGGGGATTTTACGGATATAATATATGAGAAAATAACCGTTGTGACTGCGTAAAGCACCAGTTTTTCTTATAATGGCTATTTTAGCCACTAATTATGTATATTGCATTAATTTGACTAAATTTGGAAGAACTGCTTCCAAAGCTCTTATTTTTTAGAGGAGTTTATTATGTGAAATTTAGTTCTAACCACCTCCATGTTTCATGTGTGATTTTTATAATTTTCGTATGCATAAATATTTAACATTCACGCGTCCTTTTTTTATCTTAACTTTTCATGATACGTGTCAAAAAAGGAAAACAAAAAACAACAGGAACAAAAAATAAACTGGTTCAGTTGACTCTCCGTAAACAAGTATGTGTACACGAAATTAGATCTTAAAAATATGGGATCCTGCCTGTATCTGCATTTGTAATTAGAAATTTTACTTTTAGAGAATTTTGTCTTTTGAGTCCTTTAGTTTTAAAATTAATATAATATTGAGTTGGCGGTTTCAGCATAATATTAACCTTTATTAACCGTTCATAAAAATATCTGTGATGAAAATTTATTGAAAACATTCTTTGTGTAATTATTTTGTCATTGAACATTTTGTTAAACTGTAATATTTCATTTAGGCTAACTTAAGAAGAATGCTAGAACACGTAAATAGTGGTCAAGTCGAAAAGATAACCAAAATGTGTGCTAGGGGAATGGATCCCAATTTCCACTGTCCTGAAACTGGAGGTGAGTAAACTTAAAACTGTAATCTGGGGATTAAATTGCTAATTTCAAAAGTATTAATTGAGTGCTTGTACGACGCTAATTACAATATAATAAAATGATAAATTAATATCTCTAATAAAACATGTGAATTTAATCAAGGAAAAATTGTATAAGGAAGTTCTGTCTCTTAAAAGCCATGCAGAGCAAGTTATGAGATTAAATCAGGGTACAAAAATTATGAATATAATTTAATATCTTAAAATCCATCATGCTTAAAATTTCTTACCTGCAAGTATCTACTTCATATGTTTTTATATTAATGAAAGTAGAAGATAGATTCACTTATAATAAGCATCAAGGATGCAGTTATAAGTCTCAGAGAGCTTAAATTATAGTAATCATTATATTTTTTTCAATTATGTTGCATTCAGTGTTAATGTTAAAAAAATTGACTTTATCGAAGTGTCAAGTTCCCATGACCATCTATTAGCTGAATCATCCTGAAGTTAGTTCATAAGCACAGTTCATAGATCAATACGAATGCATTATTGCACGATTGGCATAGTTTGCACATCAAAGTTTCGTAGCTTGCAGCAGAAATAATCTGAGGGTTAATTAATGCGGTAAATTGAGTTGACTGAAGAGCTCAAAATTTATGCCTGTTGAAATTGATTTAGGCTGTAAAACAAATGATATCCTCCTTTACCCTTTAATCAATTTGTTATTTAACTAAAGTTTGTTATTTATCTGATAATGAGTCCGCATTAGCATGAGATAAATATCAAATTGATAAAAAGATAAAGGGCAATATTATCTTTCTGCAGCCTAAATTAATTTCAACAGGCACAGATTTGTGCCCTTGTGACTAATGTCTGTATTTTATGATATATGACGTTTTAGTGGAAACTACTTTAGCTGTGTAATATAGATATTATAAATTTGCAATTTGAAGAGCATTTTCTAACGTATATATAATTATTTATAAAATTTTTAAATTCTAACCAGTTTATGTAAAATTGTGCTTAATTTATATTTTTTAACACATTTCTTCTGACTTTTACTGTATTAAATTTTTGTTAGTGGTTTCGCATCTGCTCTTACTTGAATTTATTATTCCTTTTTTCTCCTCTCTGTCTAGAAACACCTCTCACATTTGCTACAACATTAAAACAGTCTGCAAAAGTAATAATGGCATTAATTAATGGTGGTGCCTTGCTAGATTTTCGAACCAAAGATGGCCTAACTGCCCTTCACAAAGCTGTTGAACGGAACAACTTAGAAGCTTTAAAGGTATTCCAAGTTTATTCTTTGAAACCATTTTTGACAATAATATTAAAAACTGTAAAGCAGCGTAAGAATGTGCTTTTCTTTTTCTCGCTGAGCGTCGTGGCAGGATGTTGAACTAATAGCGTTGACGCATTTAAATTTCAATCAAAATCGTAAAAACAACCTTGTATTTAAAGTAAATATAATGAAACACTCAATCGATTTCGAGGGCAGCTAAAGGTCCCTCCTCATCAGGAGAAAGAAAATACCTAGAAAGAAGAAAATAAAGGAGAAGGAGTCTCAGAAACACGTGGTCCTTATCAGCACTGCACGTGGTTATAACTGGATTTTTAGTCAGAGTTGCACTGGCCGCCTACTTTTACTGAGCCAGTTATAACCACGTGCAGTGCTGATAAGGACCACGTGTTTCTGAGACTCCTTCTCCTTTATTTTCTTCTTTCTAGGCATTTCTTTCTCCTGATGAGGAGGGACCTTTAGCTGCCCTCGAAATCGATTGAGTGTTTCATTATACTTACGCTAAATACAAGGTTATTTTTACGATTTTGATTGTCACATTAGCGTGTTTCTCTTCTAGTCTAGCATTTAAATTTGTTTCCTAATAATTATGAGGTGAATCTCATTGAGATTTTGCGTGGATTGTGTACGAATGCGTTTGTGGCTGTAATGAAATAATTCAGTCATCCTTAAAATTAAGATGTCGTGTTAATTCTAGGAAAATGGATTATGGATTGCATTTCAGGCTTCTTCATGTAAGTTGCATTTTCAGATAACATTATTTCATGAATAATTTGAATCTGAACCGTGTTGATACTGACTCCTAGCGTAATGCCATTGAACTACACAACAAAATTTGGTGGAAACTAATAGTATAATGGAATGGACGAGCAGTGTTTGAAGAAATTACCGAGAAAAAAAGGATTTACGAGCCGTAAATAAAACGCTTTGATGTGTCTTCTACAGAAGAGAAGAATGAGACCATTGTTTGTTGCAACGGATAATCTGTAAAAAGTATGCTCACTGATTAAAAAATTTTCACTGTCGGATGATGTATCTGTTTATGTTAATTATCTACACCTGAGCTCAAAAGGAGACTTCTGAGCATAGGTTAGCGCATGAAATGTGTTGGTACAACAGCGCATTGCAGTATAAACGTATGTTGGAATTCGGGTGTGTAGCATTGTTTAAAGTTAATGTGGCTTCTGAGAGTGATCACTATTCATTAATTATGACTCAAAAGAGGCATCATTTAAATTGTAGGGTTTATATTTACTTTAACTAACATTTATTTTAAGTTTAAACTATCTTTCCTGTCAATCCTTACTTTCCCCTGGAACTGCCAATGCCAGAATATGTAAATTTGAGTAGAACGCGCAAGCATTCAAATTATCAGCGGAAGTAGTATGATTTAAATAGAAGGAAACAAGTTCAGTTAGAGTTATTCTTACTTAGCGAGCGCGGAGGTAGTTATCGAGAATTGAAAGAACCCCGCGTTGCGGCCTATGTGCTTGGCGGGAAGTAGTTGCAATTGTTCCAGTGAGCTTCAAGTCTGCTGAATTAGCAGCCGGTATTGTAAAACGCGGTGAGTTAGTTATTTTAGAGAGCCTCGTAGTTAGAATATTGTCTTTAATTTCTTTTCAGGTTCTTATTTTTATTTTGACTGCCGAGTTGGCACCGTTTGTAAGCGTCAAGAGAACGCAATTGTAATTTAGTACGTTGAATAAAAAGGGACTTAAACCCTTTATAAGACTCTGTGGTTTATACAAGCTTTCACAGTCACCTCTTGGTTGCGTGCTAGTTAGAGGCGCGCAACGTTATATTGGCGCCCGAACACTTATCGAACTGAAATGGCCGAAAACTGGATGGAAGCCGCTGGACAACACCAAGAAATGACAACGCAGTTAGAAGGATTTGGATACCTGGTCCAGACTTTGAGAGCATCAATCAAGCCAAACGTCTATTTCGACGGAAAAAATTCGGTGTCCGTATTTTTAGAAGGTATAGAAAACCACTTTCAGCTCTATCCTGTGCCTGAAAGACAAAAAGTTGCCTATCGCCACATCAGCACTAAGAGGACAGGCCGCGCTATGGTGGAAAAATATAGGCAAATTTCTTCTAGGTGAATTTGGAAGCCCGACGTATACATTTGAAAATTTCAAAAAATCGTTAGTAAAGGCCTTCCCCATAGTGAAAGATCGCGCACGGCTGGAAGCCGAGCTATATAGTTTCTATCAACGGGATACAGCACAATTGACGGACTTTATTTTACGAAAAATCAAGCTAACGGATATGTTGTATGGGAAAAAACCCGATGCGGAGATTATTGAAATAATATTACCAAGATTGTTACCCGCTGTCCAAGACTACTTTGAAATTAGAAACCCAACCACATTGCAGGAACTTTTCGAATTGGCGGTGAAGTTTCAAAATCGCGGAAAGAGCGAGAGGGGAAACATATTCTCAAAGTACCAGAAGGAAGGAGGAAACAAGAAATGAAAATCGCTCATATGGGGGAAAGAAATATCAAGCTAACGCATCGAAACTCGAAGGTCAAGGCCCAAAAAGAAAATTTGAAAATAAGCATCCGCGTACCCAGAAGACACAGATTGAAAGGAAAGCTTTAAACAACTAGAGGGGCCTGTGAAAGGGAGGGTCCAGACCCCGGAAGTTTTAGAAAAACCCTCAAATAGACATCTAAATACAGTCATCGTAAAAAACTCACAGCTACCAATTATACAAGTCCTGGTTGGCGATGTACCAGTAGAAGCCCTCATCGATACAGGAGCAGAAGGAAATTTCATGAGTGAAAAGTTCTTCAAAAAGAATTTTTATAGGATACGACTCTTTAAAACCAGAAATACGGAAATTATAGCGGCGCAAGGAAAAACATGTCACTGCATCGGGAAAGTATCATTAAACGTACAGGTAAAAGAGGAAAATCTCAAAGTATTAATTTTTGTGGTGAAACACCTCCAACACTCTCTTATTTTAGGTATGGACTTTTTAAGGGCCGCGAGGGCCAAATTAAATTTTCAAGATAGTTCCGTGGTGCTGGAGATGGACCAGAGGGTGGTGGAACCGGTGGAGACACCTGAATTGGACCTTAGCCATTTGAATGACCAGGAAAGTAAAGCAATACAGCAAGTGGTGAGTAATTTTTCTCATTTGTTTTCAGAAAAACCGGGGAAACTGTCAGATCGTGACTCACAAGATTCAATTAAATGCCGAAAAACCTTGTAGGACTAAACCTTACCGCTATGACAAACAAAAAGACGTAATCATCGAAGAACATATTCAGGAGATGTTAAAGAATAAAATAATAACGCCCATAAATAGTGAATACGCGAGTCCAGTCGTACTATGTAGGAAAAAGAACGAGTTTCCTCCTTCGGATAAAAGGGCTTGGAGGTTTGCTATCGATTATAGAAAACTAAATAGCATAACTAAATTCCCAGTTTACCCTTTGCCGGTTATAGACGAGATCATTAGACAGATCAAATCGACGAGATATATGTCTACTTTGGACTTAACGTCTGGCTACTATCAAATAGCTATGAGACCCGAAGATATACATAAAACCGCGTTTATAACAAAATCGGGCACTTATGCATTTTTACGCATGCCTTTTGGGTTGTGTGGGGCCCCATCAACATTCCAGAGAGCTATGGACATTGTTCTAAAGCCTGTCCTAGGAAAATCAACTTTAATTTATCTAGATGATATAATTATAACGAGTAGTACGTTGGAACAACACATTAATGACCTCGAACAAGTTTTTAAATTATTAAAAGAGGCCGGTCTTACAATTAACGCCTCAAAATGCAAGTTCGCAACTAAAGAACTTAAATATCTCGGTTATAAAATTTCGCAAAAGGGTATAGAAACGCAAGATTCAAAAATAAAAGCTATTAAGAATTTCCCACCGCCCAACACCGCCAAGAAACTTTCGTCTTTCCTTGGACTATGTTCTTACTATCGATCTTTCATAAAAGATTTCGCTAATATTGTTGAACCACTCTTAGTAATCAAAAGAAAAAAGAGTAAATTTACGTGGACAGCGGAAGCTAACACAGCTTTTGAAAGATTAAAAGAAGCGCTTATTAATGCCCCTGTTTTAAAATTCCCTGAGGGGGACGAAAACCTGGAAATTGCGGCAGATGCATCAGACTATGCGGTGGGTGCGGTTCTTATGCAAAATAACCATCCGCTGGCATTTTTTAGTAAAACATTGAATCAAACACAAAGGAATTATACAGCTACAGAAAGAGAAACATTAGCCGTATTAATGGCTGTACACAAATTTCGAGTTTATTTCGGCAAATCGCCAGTAACAGTCTTTTCGGATCATGCGGCTGTTGGTAGACTTTACTCGGGAAAAAACCTAACGCCCAGGTTAATAAGATGGGCTTTAAAACTCCAAGAATATAATATCACAATAAAATATAAACCGGGTAAGGAAAACAATGTAGCTGACGCACTTTCTCGTATAAAACTGGACGATGAAGGTAATGAACTTAAATGCGCTGTGTTGACTTCAAAAATTTTAGATTCTAGAGATACGGTTATTACTGAACTGAAAGCTGATCCTGAATTTGGAAATATCTATGCTTATTTGAAAGACCCCGAAAGCTTTGAGCATACAGATATCGATGCGATAAGAAATAGAGCAAAAAACTATGAAATAATAGATAATTTATTATTCTATACGAAAACAACAAACGAAAATCTTGAGTATAAGCCAGTCATCCCAGCCTCGCTTCGATTAAGCATTTTGAAGGAGTTGCACGAAAAAAAAACAGCGGGCCACCTCGGGGTCAGAAAGACTTTAAAAAGGGTACGCGAGGCGGTATATTTCCCGCAATTATACAAAATAGTAACGGCGTATGTCAGGTCCTGCAATCAATGTCAGTTAATAAATGATATTAATTACAGCCCGGCCGGGTACTTAAATAGCATTCGCGCTACATTTCCGAATGAAATTTTAGGCATAGATCTCCTTGGTCCCTTCCCCCAGAGCGAGTTAAATAAAAATCGTTTTCTTTTAGTAATAGTAGATCATTTTTCAAAATGGATAGAAATTGTTCCACTTAAACGCGCGTCAGCCAAAACAGTCGCAG